TCACTGTTTCATGTGCATAACTGTGCAGTCAACCAAATGTAGTGAAGAGGACTGCACAAAAGACCCTTGGTCATTTTGTGTTGGCAGTCTACTGTGTACACACTGAACCTGTGCATGTTTGAGTTCCATATAGAAACTACATGCTCACCAGTGACTGTGGGCATTTGTGCACACTTGTGCTGTAAAACCAAAGGAGGGTTAATACAGAAATTTTTTAATGAAACAATAAGGCAAGAGAGAGCAGTGCACTGCCGCAGCTGCACTGAACCTGCCTGATGTATGTGGACACATTGTCAGCAGTCCCCATTTTGTGCTTTGTCTCTAAAATCAATCCCTGAGTTTAGCCCCACAGTTTGCATATACTTAGGTTGCTCGCTTTGTTCCATGTAGCGGGATGTTCCAACGGCACCATCTGACTTGTTAAACTAACAACTTGAAGTTCAGGAGTTTAGAAATCAGGCGAAACCTGAGACGAGGGATGAAGCAAGTAGTTGAACCCCCCGGGTGTTAAGGATATAGCTTCACCTTGTTTCTGTCAACAGGTTCCCCGTCGTCAACTATGAAGATCCAAATATCAACGTGGAAATTCCCGTCTTCTCCATCCACGGTAACCATGACGATCCTGCAGGGGTGAGTTCCGAGGCTCTCCCAAGTCCTCAACAGTTGGCAGGATATTGCTGGAATCTCCAGAGCCCAACAGCAGCTGCATTACACTGAGCTTTACAAGTCAAAACCACAGAGAATGTGGGATCTGTTCCCGGCTCGGCGGTGCCGTAGTCAAGTCTATCACAGGTCCCCTGCTAGTCCATCACAAGTTGTCCATTCTCAAGTCACAAACCATTCAAAGGAATTGTGAAAAGCTTTCCCGTGTCATTGGTCACCCTGTTGTTTCTGGCCGGCCTTGCAAGAGGGCTTGTGACGTGACCTGTGAAAGGGTCACTTTGGACTAGACTTGCCTGTGACACTGCTATTCAGAACATGATTATTAATTCAGAAATATTTCAAGAGGAATTGTGGGACAGAAAAAAATGTAATGACTTCAGCTGTGTCATTTTCACTGCCTCTGAGAAGGTGAAATTTGTATGCTGATTCCCAACATGAAAGATATTCGTTTCAGTCACAGAACCTTTTCATTACGTTTTGCTCATTAAATTTGAATAAAATCTTGTACATTTTGTTATTTTATTCCACATAAACGTAACAATTTGAATTCCCCAGACTAAAGACACTGTTACTATACCTTGTGATTTAAGGCAAGCTTTTGCATAGCAACCACCATCTCTGGAATGGACTGGTTCCTTTGTGCCCTTCTTATCCATTGAAAACAGTGTATTTGTGCAAGGCATCTCTTATGTAACTAATCACAGGGTATAGCAATATTGTCTTTAGTATGGAGAATTCAAATTGTTATGTTCATTTGAATTTGAAGAACTTGGTGTACCAGATTTTATTGAAATGTAACTCGCAAAATGCTTATTTATGTTCACCGCTCTAATGTCTAATAAATTGATTTTTCAATTTGTTGCTCTAGCTTGGAAATCTCTGCGCCCTTGACATCTTGAGCGTGTCCGGGCTGGTCAACTATTTTGGGAAGTGCAACTCACTGGAAAGCATTGATGTGACACCGCTCTTGATCCAAAAGGGCACCACAAGGCTATCCCTGTATGGAATAGGTGAGTGTCGGGGGGAAATGATGGTTTTTGGGTTCAACTGGGCTGTCACTGTATGAAATACATGGGTGTTACTGGGCTAAAATGGGTGGTGGGTAACAGTTAGCTGTCACTGTGAGGAATAATTGGGTATTACTGGGGTATAATGGGTTGTGGGTTCAACTAGGGTGTTGCTGTATGAAATACATGGGTGTCACTGGGCTAAAATGGGTGGTGGGTAAAAGTTAGCTGTCTTTGTGAGGAATAATTGGGTATTACTGGGGTATAATGTTTTGTGGGTTCAACTAGGGTGTCGCTGTATGAAATACATGGGTGTGACTGGGTTAAAATGGGTGGTGGGTAAAAGTTAGCTGTCACTGGGGTATAATGGGTTGTGGGTTCAACTAGGGTGTTGCTGTATAAGATAGGAAGGTACAGTGGATGGTGGGTACAAGGCTGTTGTGTGGAATCCGCAATGAGCAGAAGCACCCCCTCATTGGCTGAAAAAAGCCATCTTGGTCGGGAGCGTTCATTTTGTTGGTAGCGATGCGACGGTAACGTGTACATTTCATAGTCATTCGTGAACCAGCGAAGTTCATTTCTGACCAAAGGAGCCCCCGTTGCTAAGAAAATTGCGCCCCCTCTTGGTCTAGCTCAAGCCTCTTTTAGGTGAGTGTCACAAGGATGTGATAGGTTGTTTGTACGAAAATTCCTGGTAGGGTATCCTGACTTACAGTGTGTGGTCAGTATATGCTGAGCTTATGGGTCACACAGGGTCGCATAGGGCTTATTGGCACAGTCTGGGTAAGTATCATTGTGGTGTACGAGGTTGAGAGGTTGAATGCTCTCCCAAATATTTGTCGTTGGCTGCCCTTTGTCGATGCTGTACCCGCTGTAGTGTGATGACTGACTGTTTTACTGGACTGTATCCAGTGAGACAAGGTTTGTGTAATTTTTGTTGAAATGTTTCGGGAGTCTGGTTGGCGTAGTGGTTCTTTCCTCGCCTTCCACCTCTGCAGTCCGGGTTTGATTCCCGGCTCGGTCCACATGTGGATTGGGTTTTCAGTCCCTACCTGATTTCGTGGGTTTTACCCAGAATATTCCTCTGGGGTTTTCCACCCACCTCTAAAACTGTGACTGCCTCTCCTTGTCTCCTCTCTAGAGGTTTCTTCAGGCTTGCGCACTTCGAGGAATCCTTCGTGTCATTACCAGAAAAAGTTAATAATAATGATAAAAATTAATTTCCCTTGAAAAATGCAACTGTGTTGCAGGATCCATCCGGGATGAGCGCATGCATCGGATCTTTGTCAACCGGAACATCAGGTTCTTTCAGCCTAAGGAGGAGAATAATCCATGGTTCCACCTGCTGGTCCTTCATCAGAACAGGTAGGTCATGGTGTCTGTCTCTCTTCAGAGACTTTGAGACGATTGATGCCGGCCAACCCAATGGTCCTTTGGGCAAGTTCTGCGTATGCATGAGTAGTTATGAGAATGCGTGCATTGTTATGAGCACACCCACGACTGTCAGAGAGAACCGATTTGTTTGTAGCGGCCGGGATATCAAAGTCCCCCATTGATTAGTTAGAAAATGGTATTCTATAAGCAATTTCAGGGAGTAAGCGGTAAACTTAAATGCAGCTGATGCATATGCCCAGTAATAAGACCAAAATCACGTTTCATTCACGTTTGTCTCCTTTTTTGACTTCTTGTAAAAAATTTGTATTTCATTTCTGCATATGTGGTGATTTTTGTACATGATGGAATGTAAGGTCAAATATTTGAATTGACTCGGCCTTAATCGGCAGGGGAGCCCTCTCTGCAAGATGCGTGCCTGAAAGACTGGAGGCTAGGACAGGCAGACTTGACTGTTTGACCCTCTCTCTCAGGAAATGGAGAGAGATATACATGTACATTTGTTCATGTACCGTAGCAGTTAGATTTCGTGCTTCAGGAATTCTGCCCTTACATTTACACGATTGACTGACCGACTATTAAACTGTGTGTCTTGCGATTCTAAATGTGCATTGGACCGTTAGTTGAAAACATGAAGCTGGAACTTATTCCAAACTTGACAACTAATTCTTGTCGCGATTATCAGTCTTGTAGTCGAGACCATCACACGGCCCGATACAAGACCAGCCACAAGACCATGCACACGTAACGGTGAACAGTGACAAAGGAATACTTTTGTTGGAGTTCATTTGAATAGCTTGTGACTTGAATTCAGACTGGAGGTCTTCTGCCCGTCTCGTGTGGTCTTGTGAATGTCTTTTTACACAAAAAGTGAGAATTGATGGCACCGTTTACCAATGTCCTTGTCATTTCTTATTTATAAACAACTAGGAGTTCCTCCAAAAAAGACAGTGCAAATAAAGGGTATTGTACTGCCTATTTCATCTCCTTTCAGGTTTTGATAAACATCTTTTTGTTGATAAATTGCAAAAGATAATGAAGTCCATAAGTCCATAATGATATGGAAATTTGAGGGTCAATGACGTTCGTAAATTGGAAAATGTCACCAAAATCGCTTCAACAACGATTGGTCTTGATGTGAAACATGTTGAAAGTATTGTTGAATCAGCAATTGTCTTCAAGCTTCGTGCAGTAATGCAAGATCCTAAGTATCCCCTTTACGTTTCAGTGGTCGCCAACAAATCCAGAAGAATCCGCACCCCATGCACCAACACAAAGCGTTTCAGAATGTCTTTTTGGCCTCATGCTTGCTGCCTGTTTAACTCTACATTTGAAAGATAAACTCTGCTCCTTCCTAGTTGGTGATCTCCACCCTGGTGCCTGAAAACAGTTTTTAATCTGTTTAACCCTCCTTTTGCTGTAACCTTCAAAAACAGTGCAAAATTCCTTCCACTTGATTTCTCCTAGTACACAGACACCTATGGGAAATTGGCTAGTTTTGAGTGATAGGACAACTGTGTCCAGAATGTTTCTTTGCATAGGAGGGTTAATCTGTGCCTCTTATAAATGTCTTTGGAAATTCTTTTTCTTGTGCTATTTTACTAGATGCAGAATTTTTTATGAATAATGCACAAGGGAAATCAATTTTCATCTTTTTTTTAAATGTGATGATGTAATAAATGAAATGAAAAGTCAGTAACATTGCAAAAATGTTCTATTCCTGCATTGAATTGCTGTCTGGTGTTGTCAAAATATATTAACTGTTTCAAAGTAGAATAGAAATTACAATTTCTCTCAGTCACGTCAGTGGTGGGTTGAATGCGGCATTCTAATAGGTTTTGCATCACAGATTAATAAGGTATTCAACCCGTCACCCCTTAGAATGATTGTTGGCATTACAGTCGTAAATGCTTGTTATGTGTATATGATGCCAGATCAGGGATGAAACCATCAATTCTTTGATTTTCTTTTGCAGGACCAAACACGGTGAGACCAACTACATCCCCGAGCAGTTCCTGCCCGACTTCCTGGACCTAGTGATCTGGGGACACGAGCATGAGTGCAAGATTGACCCGGCCTGGAATGACCGGCAGCAATTCTTCGTCAGCCAGCCCGGCAGCAGTATCGCCACCTCCCTGTGCCAAGGGGAATCCATCCAAAAGTAAGAAGGGCTGGCAGGTTGGAGAAAGGGAAAAACCAAAATCAATGAACCAATATGAGTCATTTGTTTTGGTATAAGCTCTTGGAATCTTTTTTTTGGGGGGGGGTTGGGACTAGGTAGGCTTTGTTAGTGACATCCAGACAACGCGAAAAAGACTTTAAAGGGTCTTTGCGATGAATTTCTTGCGACACACTATTTTGGTGCATCTTCGTAATCTTCTTCAACGTATGAAAACTGTCACATCTTTCTCAGGTAAGGCGTATTTAAAAAGAGTGGGTTTTTTTACTTCTGAAATTACAAATGTTTTTGCTGGCAGCTGTGCTCTTGCTGCGATGCCATTCAGGCAAGTCTGTTTTGAGTTAAAAGGTATGTCTGTGTACATTGCGAGCCCAAAATGTGGGCATTGAAAGCAGTTGCGATGAAGAAGGTGTCTGTCTCCACCCAGGAGTGCACTAATGGGAACCTGTGAGGGCAGAGATGGTCTTTGCAGCTGATTAGCTAGTCGCTGTTTTATGTTATGGCAACCTTGAATTATATAACCCCGAGAGAGCTTAGATGGTTTCTGATTTGTTTATTGGCCCTGTGATGAGGGATAGGAATAATCAATACTTTGATGTAGTGACTGGGATTTGCCTGCTGTATAAAGACTCATGACTTGATTGAAGAAAATCTTTGTTGGAAACTTTTATGGAATTCCGGCAGAATTGACACCTTTAAAACAAAAGTCCCCTAAAATGTTGGCCCCAACCTTTTTTGGGTCCCTTTCTGCAGACACATCTGCCTCCTGAAGGTGCGAGGTAAGGCCTTGAAGTGTACCAAGATCCGGCTGGAGACGGTCCGGCCCTTCTACATGAGGGACATTAGCTTACAGGACACCGACCTGGACCCGGGCCATGCTGGCATCAAGGACAAGGTGGAGGCCTACTGCTCAGAGAGGGTAAGGAGAAAGAAATTCTGTAGTTTGTGGAGAACGGCTGGGGATCGTCATCCACATCTCAGGTTTGTCTCAGGCTGCATTTCTTAACATCGAAACTGCTTTTTCAGTTGCACAACCAAGTGGCGTATCGCGTATATGTGGCCCCCAAGGAATTGATTTATCTTGTGTGCGTAAACCGATGCATGATACATCATTTTGTTGCACGACAGCCGTGTGGCTGGTGATCACACCTGGGAAGTGATGAATGATAATCAGTCATTTAATTAGAGACGATTCTGCTTTCTTTTCATTTCAACCTTTATTTCCTTTGTGTACGTGCAGCATTTTGAGCATTAATTTCAATCGTGGTCAGTGAAATGTTTCAGGTTTTCGTTTGTGTGTTCTTATCGCAGGTTGAAGGGCTCATATCTTTAGCGGAGGATGAGCATACAGGAAACCCCAAACAGCCAGTTCTGCCACTCATCAGGTTACGTGTAAGTGGGAAGGTCCCAGTTGTCGTGCTGCAGTTTTGCCAGTCCACCTGTAGTCTGCAAATTTCTATCGATCATTGGACGCCATCTTTGTGGGAAAATTGTAACCACGTATACAACGCTAACGGGTGCTTGTGCACACAGTGTGCAAAATATTTGAAACTAACGCGCAAGCTAGTCAAAATATGTTGGAAATACGGCGCAGCCAATCAGCGTCAAGGAAATTTACTGAAAAAATGCTGATGCACATAGCAATCCATAGGAAGGAATGTCATTTGAGAGAGACCTTTCTCACAGCTGGCAAAATTTGTCCAAAGTATGCCGACCAGGCAGTTCATGTGTGACACAAATACAATCTACATTCTGCTAGCATACCTGGCTGATGGGGACCGTACAGGCACACGCTGGCAGAGCAAGCTACAGTTGGGAGTGATCCGTAGTTGGGACACATGCTGCAGTTGGGCCGTCTCATTTTCGGCGCCGCAGTCACAGATGTGTTTCTGCAGAAATACGTGTACTGTTTTGACATTTTGTGGCATTTTGGCTTTACACCCATCTGATGTTGCACTTACCAAATGAGAGCCAAAGATTGGGGCTGGCTTTCGTTGCTGGCTCAAAATGGCAGAAACAAGTCGAAAGTTTTTTGTTGTTTCCAATACTAATGGCAAGAGTAATCCCTAATTTGCATTCAGTGAACTTGGAGAGCCATTTTCAAATTGTGCCTTTTTTTCAGCTGGGGCTTCGTTCAGTGCACTGGGATCATATTATCGTTCAACCAGTTTTTTGTTGGAATCAAATGAAAATACTGGAAATTTGGCTTCGCAAGAGTCAATTGTATGTTTCTGCAACAGAAGCTGATGATGCGCTTGTCCGGTGAACCGAATTCATAAAAAGTCTGAAGCTCAAACGAATTGACAAGAGTGGAAAAATAAACCCGTATTCCTCCACCTCTGGCATTGTTTGGTCCTAGGTTGACTACAGTGGTGGATTTGAGACGTTCAACGTTAACCGCTTTGGCCAGAGGTTCGTCAACAAGGTGGCCAACACCAAAGACATCATCCTCTTCCACAGACGCAAGCTGCAGCCAGAGAAGCGGGGTGAGTTGGCAAGATTTGATTGGCTGTGGCTGGTCACGTGACCTTCAAGATCCACATTGATAGGTCAAGTGTCAGTCATAGCACTAGAGCTGCCTTTTTTAGTTACTTCAGAAATTTCGACTGCTGTCGCTGGTCATCTTTTCTCTGAATTTTTTTGTCGGGAGAGGAGTGGATGTAAACTAAATCAGAACATTACGTCTTCTAACCTCGCTCTCTGTAATTTATTTCTGTGGTTTTTATAAGAATTTGTGAAAGCAAAGTAAAACATCATCTGTCGCTTTTTTCTTCTCTGTTGGAGCAAATGTGAAACTAAATAAGATGTTTTCTTGAAGACTCGCTTTTCTTTCCTTTTTTTTGTGTTTGAACAGACGTGAAACCTAATGAGGACATGTCCAACTATCTCAGGCCGGAGGCCCTGGATGCGGGGAGGGTGGAGGATCTTGTCAAAAAATACTTTTCAAGTGCTGAAGAGGTAAAAAAAGAAATCTCTGTAGTATAGGCAGAATGCATGAACATTGAGGGTGCCATTTAACTTGATTACCAGGGTCAACCGTAGAGCTTTTATCCAAGGTGGTTCTTCCAATACTTAGGTTCATCTCGGTCTTAGACTTCGCCGGATGCTTAACTCCCAGACTTCGAAGCGTATTAAGTAGATTTTCAACTTGGACATCAAAATTGTGTTCCTGTTTGCTTTCCTGCTGAATATGAACTGTCCTCAAGGCATAGCTTCAGCCCACAAAGTCCTGCTTAGTTTGAATCGTGCTATAATCTTGAACTAAGTGAATATTGTTGGATTGTGCTTGCTGGGAGCAGGTGCAGGACTCAGGAGGTCAAATGCCACGAAGGGAAATCCGTGCAGCACTTTTTTTCAGTGAAGGCCAGTTCATTCTGGGAACAGAAATGAAAACAAGTGTGAGTTTGTGATGTCAGATCAAACATTGCCAAGATCAAACATTGCCCAGATCAAACATTGCCCAGATCAAACATTGCCCAGATCAAACATTTTGCCTCGAGCGAATTCCACTGCAAATGTTTGGTGACATCAAATTGGCTACACATCCTCTTTCATGTGAAGTACAAACCCGGCCTTCAAGGTATTTTCATCTTTTAGAGCTGTTGTATTTCTGATCTTTCTTGGTTGCCATGGTAGGGCAAACAGCTGAACCTTCTGTCGGAGAAGGGTCTTGGCCAGGCCATCCAGGAGTTTGTGGACAAGGACGAGAAAGACGCCATCAGTGAGCTGGTCAAGTTCCAGCTGGAGCGGACGCGAGGCCACCTCAAGAACCGCAAGACGACCGACACGTTCATTTTGGAGGAGGTACTGTGACGCCGTGCCCTGTCCCCACAAGAGATGAAAAAACTAAGCCAGTTTGGCTGGTCCAACATTCGATTCATTAAACTTCAGGATTTTAGATGGCATGCAAACTCGTACAAGTCGACGGGGCGGTGTGGTAGAGGAATCCACGTTCTTCAGATCCTCTTCCAATCAGAGTTGAGACGGAAGCCCTCAGTTGCACAAAATATTCGGGTGTACAAAATGCCTTAAAAATATGTGACCCACTCTGTGAAAATGAGTCTTAAGTCGCCAGAGACACTTTTTGAGTTTTCATTTGTATTGGAAAGAGTAAATTGAGTTTCTTGTTTTGATGCATCTTTCAGTTTGGCGTCCTGATGAAAGTGGATGCTCCATGGTGGAAAATGCTGTGGGTACCTATTGATGTACACTGTGCAAAATTATTCTAAAGGACGTTTTACTCCAAAGTGGCTCTGGCAACTTAAGACTCATTTTCACAGAGCGGGTCACATATGCTATGCAGTGCTTTTGAATGGCATCTCTCACATCAAAGCAAGAATTATTGGTGGATTCTATTCGTACAATTCTACCTCGGTTTACGTGCGTGTGGGACTTATGAGAAATTATTTTTTTCTTGAATGTGAAAATTGGCGAGTCTAAATGTGTGCATGCACCATTCAAACACTGGTCTGGCTTACCGTGCTACAGGAAACAAAGGAAAATGTTATATCTTGGCCCAACACAGACTTTTACGTTTACCTGAAGAATTATAAAAACCCTAGTCATTCTAAATTTATTGAAACCTTACATTAATAACATTGCAACTAAAACCCAAGTTTACTGAGGAACCATTTCAATAGTCTTTTCCTAATCGGTGTTGAGCCGTGTCTGACAGTCCGGGCTGCGGCTTGCAATAACATGCACACCTGTTGAAACCATTGACTAGCGGCTACAGCCATTTCCCATAGATGTTTGTGTTACAGCCAGCCGTATCAAAACTTTGTGACGCATCCCAAATTTTCACCTTTTCTTTCTGCAGTTGAAGCATTTCAAGGAGCAGAGGAAGAAGATGTCGGAAGCTGAGCAAGCCAAGGAAGTCAAAGCCGTAAGAACATTTCAGTCATTGGTTTGAAAAATTTGCATTTACTTTTTATTTGACCAGAGCAAAGCCTCGTCATTCACATGTATAAACTATTCTCGCTTGGGGCCTTAGGGAAGAAGGCACCGAAGAAATGTTCAATTAAGAGGCGGTTGGGAAGACCCCCGACAAATATTCCAAGGAAGGCGGGGAATGAGGCGGGGAACTGAAAACCCACTCCACATGTCTGCCTGGGCAGGATTCGAACTCTGGGCCGTAGAGCCGAAAGGCAACGAAAGAACATGTACCATTACACCAATCCAACTCCTTGATTCAAAATAATGTTCGAGATTAGAGTACTTGACCCTGCGCAGCAATGTTTTAGTTGTTTGGACCAAAAAATAGGGGCAATATATTCACCAACAACTCGGTCTCAATATATATCAGGGGCATAGCCACAGGGGGCCGGGGGGGGGACGTGCCAACCCACAAATTCCCGGTGCTCCCCCCCCCCACTGAAAAAAGCGGATGAATGGATATTGAACAAGGCTAACAAAAGCTTGCCCCAAACAACCACACCACTGAAAGTTTGTGCCTACTCCCTGTGAGATGCTGGTGCATCCTTGTGGCCCAATATTCTAGCTACGTCAGTGCTCAATATCCCTAGAAATTAAAGAAGTTGCCCCTCAATATGGAGCCAGGCTCCGGAAGTGAGCACATATGTTGAAATTGGAACTTGGCTGCTGTACACTGCGTGTTGTACCTTACATTGCAGCATATCGGAGTGTTGCAGAAATGAAGGTGCAGTTAGAAATGATAACGCAAATTTTAATGTGCAAATGACTCCCAAGTGTCGGCGTCCCAAACATTCATGTAGAGAGGTCGTGGTATCTTGACGTTTGAAAGGGTCAAGATTTTTGACCGAAAATAATGAAAACACCCAGCGCCAATTTGTTGTGAAATAAAACTGGTGTAAGGAAGGAAACGGGAACAAGCGGCCAGACTTTGCAAGTGAATTGCAAGGCAGAGCCTCGTAGTCTTTTTAAATCTCTTGCTTTGAACAGTGAGCTCTCCACTACCAGCCTCCACTCTGTTCCAGTCCATTGTTCCCACTGATTTGATTGACAGCTTCTGTCGGCTTTGATCAACTCTGAGCTCCTCCTTCCCAGCTGACAAAAGGAACAAAGGATTTTGTTGTGGAAATTGCCGGCTCATTGAATTGAACTGAGCAACAGCCACAGACTTAAACCTGAGGTGGGCAGGACTTGAGCATCTGGCTGTCTGGCAGCCTGACTTCTTTGAATGGTGACACCTTTACTCAGGGCTAATAGAAGGAAGATTACAGGCCCGAATGCCTTGGTATCTACATTGAGCAGAAATGCCCCCTTATCTGTTGAAAAGAGCCATGTTGGTCGGGAGTGTTCATTTTGTTGGTAGCCATGCACCTGTAGCATGCGCATTTCCTCCTCGTTCGAGAACTAGCAATGTTTAGTTCCAACCAAAGGGGCCTCCATTGCTAAGAAACTGGTATCTTCTCTTGGCCCAGCTTGAGGTTCATTGCTTAGCCCTCTGACATTGTGCTTTGCTGCAGGTGATGGAAAAGGCAAAGGAGAAGCGTCTCGAGAGAGGAGACGACTTCAGTGACGATGATGACCCAGACACCATACAAATCGACTCAGATGAGAGCGACACCACCGACAGAGGGCGTGGCCGCGGGAGAGGGCGTGGCCGGGGAGGGAGGGGCCGGGGGTCATCGACTCGAGGCAGCCGATCGCGGGGAGGAGGGAGGGCAGAGAGCCAGGGGACGGGGAACAGCCGCTCAAAGCAGAGCGTCCTGTCAGACAGTTTCATCCGAGGTGGGTCCAAATTGTGGCCTGATCGGGGGGAGGGGATGTTGGTTCAGTTGATAGTAGAAAGGTTCAATTGTGTGAAGTTTCAACAGTCCAAAGGTTACACCCTCTGAAAGATATAATTAAATTTCTCCAAGTCAAGTTGGGTCTTTGGAACTAAGGTTGCTTTTTCGATTAACAAATCTTTGTGCTCTCAAACCTAGTTTTAATTTCAAAACTCTGAAACTTCTAAATTAAAAAAAAAACCTGATGGTAAATTTGGAGGACTGAATCTCTGGACAAATGAACCGTCAGACATTTGAAACCTGCAGAAAAAAGAACCTTCAGACGATTGCACCGAAAGGACAGATCAACAAACTGCTTTTCATTTACAATTTAAAGAACCCTTGGCTCTTTGAAATTTTTTGCGTTCTTAAGACCATGGAACGTTCCAACTATTTGAGAGGCTAGGTCTGAATCAACTGGGTGTGGCAGTAGTAATACATGTAGCTATGGGAAATGGCTACAGCCACAAGTCAGTGGCTTCTTTAGCTGCACATACTACATGTAGCCACAGCCATAAATTTGGGACATGGCAAGACCGAAAGTGAGCTTTAGCAGGTTAAATTCACAAAAGACGAGACACAGTTCGAATTGAAGTTCTTTTAAAATGTTTTCAGTTTGAACAATACATGTCGGTCTTTTCATTAGTTCTCCGTATTCTACAGCAGAAGTGTTTGCAAAGAAACATACTATTTGGTATAACTTTTTTAATGTTTCATTATTTTTTTATTCCAGCAAGTAAGCCCACAGCCAGAAATTCTCGCCGGTTTGGGGATGTGAGTACCATTGAAAGTCTAATTTTACAGTGCTTCTGATTTGAATCAGATTTTTCTCAGAAAGCACTTCTATGGCCAAAGGGTAGTGACCAGTATTGTAGTCGAGACCACACAAGATCATCACAAGACCTCCAGTCAGGATTCAAGTCACAAGCTATTCAAACGAACTGCAACAAAAGCATTCCTTGACATTGTTCAGCCCTCATGTGTCTGGTCTTGTGAAAGTCTCGACTACTAGCTGGAATAATTCGCCTGAGAGCGCCATCCAAGTGCTCATACTTCTCTGCTCTCAGCAGAATTTCAGTAACTTGAGGCTCCCTTTCCCCCTGTGAATGTCCCATCTTCTTGACATGAAGGTGGAGGTGTGGCCTTCAGGCTATATTGAAAATGAGCTGCCTCTGAGCTTCCAGGAGCTCTCTCATTGGGATTTTCGCTTGCATCTCGCAGAGTGATGATTCTGAAGACAAGAGCATCTCCTCCCGAGCCACCACATCATCGGCCTCATCAAGGAAAGGCGGCAGTCAAAGGTCTGTGGCGTACAAACGATATTTTGAAGTAGAACTACACAACATGAGGAGGTCTTTGTGACATTGTGGTGAATTTTGGCTAATACACTCTGTGGGCAAGAACTTTGGTGTCTGTCAAACCAGGTTGCTCTATTTTGACTCTAATGGCGGTCTGTCATGATGCATTATAGCCTTTGTGGTGCACGACCAAAACAGAGTGAGGTGAAATTCGAACCCGTGACAGCAGAAATACTGCGCAAGCGTTGCAATGACTGTACTATACATGTAATAGTGCTCTGCCCAAAACGGACCTGGAAGGTCTCATGGGTGAAACACTTGAGCATTTTTTGCAGATATCGTGGGTTTGAATCCTGCCCAGTTCTTGCTACACTGAGGTCCCTAACCCCACTCTGCTTTTATGTAATCGTCGGTGAAAAAGCTGTAACATTAAAGTGGTACATCCGAGAAGGATTGCGCTTGTACATGGGGCCTTGTGGGGTACCGGAACTATGGAAGGTACCCCACAAGGCCAGTTTTGATCCTTGTGGGGTACTAATGTGGTGCCCCACAAGAATTTCACGAAATAGATATTTCAAATTTACTCAAAAAGGAGGAATTTTCAAGTGCTATTCATAGTTGCAAATTGAAGTGTTTTATTTAAGGGACATACGGTCGAAATTTCAACCCATGAAACTGAATTTGGTTGAAATGGCTGTGATTTGAAATTTTTCCGTGTTGTGTGGGAATTTTGTACACGAGAACAAAGGAAATACCCCACAAGTATACACATGTGAGGGTGTGTGTTGGAATGTGTGACTGCATCTGGTGATGAAACTGGGTACCTTCCATTTTGTGGTTTGGTAATCAGGTGCCCCTGTACCCATCACTGCCCTAATCAAGGCTAGCCCATCTTGTTTTCCAGAAGTCAACAGTTCGCGCCACACCGTGTCCCCAAAATGGAACATCCCAAAATGGGCAACCCCGACTTCTGAGACACTGCACACAGACAGGGTAGATATGTCTGTCGCTTGCTCATTTCTGATTCTTGAAATTTCTGTTTGTCGTACAGGAATGCGAAGAGGAGCGCAATGGCATTTCTAGACAGCAACTACTCAGAGGTATGTACTGCCCTCGCATGGCAAGCTTTCCCCCAGTTGTGTAGACGCAATCACTGTGGTGCCACCACACTGACGCATGTGTTCATACACTTGGACTGCACATGCATATTGGCAAGACAGTGCTCCTGAATACTCGTCGTATTCCACGGTACTCACGATCAGGAGTGGTTTGATTACGTGCTAGATGTTATTTTGGCCGTTTTGTACATGCGTACTGTTCAACCATAGAGCTATATTGAATTACTAGAGTACTAACCTCTCATCCTTTGTGCTTAGAAAAGTGGACACTGTCCTGGGCGCCGACATGTTGAATCCATGTGTGTGCTTGTAGAACATTTGAAATTGGATAGAATGAATTTTGAACAATGCACTCTCATCGCAGTGCGCAATGAGTACTGATTAAATCGGATTAAAAAAAGGTCACGGCAAAATTATCTGCAGTGCATAGGCACATGAGTTTGCATGGTTTGCAGAGAGCAAAATGCTCATTTATTGGTCGTGCGTTTCAGTTTTTTGCGTTTTTGCTATTTTGACGCTTCGTTTCAGAATACAGATGCAGATATGCAAATAGCCATCCAAAAGCCGTACGAAATTTCAAGTTTTCCATAGGTTTGTGCACAAGCAGAGATTCGCCCAGCAGGCATCACTTTGTACAGGAATCAAAGCTCAAGTTTTGACCTATAGCTCTATGTGTTTAATGGACATGCACCAGAGTATCCGGCACACCTTGCACATGCAATATCGGCTCAATAGCCACATCAATGGATGCTTGCACTTGTGTGTGTTATTACATGTAGCATTTTCAGTGACGCATGGAATTATAATGGTGATTTTGTCCCGTGTGACATATGGACTAACAAACAAAATATGGTTTATCTGAGGTGGATAGTCGAAATTGGCTGTTGGAAGTTTTATAAGATACCTCCCAAAGCAGGGTTTAGAGAACTATTTCCATTGGAGAACCATTAGATATATGCTATATGGACTGGCAGTGAGGTCACTAGTGCCATCTATGCACTATGAGGGATTGTGCGTGATAAAAACGTAGTGCATATATGCACTGTTTGCCAGTCCATATTTGGTTTATAACACAATTCAGTCAGAAATATGAAAATAAGAAACTTCTCTGGGTTTGTTATTGAGGGCACTTTAACCTCTTAAAACATTTGAATATAGTTCCAATTCAGGCACTTTACCTTTGGAAATAATGTATGCATGTTTTTTTTCACAGGCATCTAGATCATATTATGAATTTAGGGACCAAAAATTTAACATTTTGGGACCCTGTTACACCTAACCTGTGTAATTTTAATGGGGAAATACAGTATCATAGAAATTGACTTCCAACTAATTTTATTTTGTTTGGTAGGTAATTTGAATTATTATCACTTGCAAAAGAATGTATTCTAAACTTGCCAAATCGATTGTCACGTGATAGCAACACACACTAACTATTGGACCCCAATTTTTTTAGAATGACACATCTAGTTCATGGTGACAGATAATTTATGCTCTAGCCTATATTAGTGAGTCCCATGTGACAGTATTTCTGCTAAAGCAAGGTGTGATATATAACAACTATTCACCCTCAAGTCATGCTATATTTTCATACTTTATGCCTGCTGAACATACCTCTGGGCTGCGTTGTGAGCAAGCAGTAATACCTGGCTTATTTTTGTCTATTTTTTTGTATCACTGGGATGATCACAGGAAGGGGACGACTTGGTTGGTTACTCACCGAGCCCTCGGAAAAGGGGGTCTTCGACGGCTAAGAGAGGTAGACGATTCTAAATCAGGTACCTTGACCGATCAGGGCTGCCTTTGCATAAAGCCTTCCAATCAGATCTGTTGTCACACCTGAAATTGGTAGAGACTGTGTCGCTTGGAGTATGTTGGCGTCTACATTACCCACAGAGGGAGGACAACTCAGAGAGAAGGGCATATTAACCAAATAGGATTTGTCTGTTGGTACACCAATCAGATGCCTTGGTGTATCCTAATGATTTTGGTGACCTGGTCACAGTTTGAGAAAAAAACATTCAAGATTTGTCAGAACAAAACACATGTATTCAACAAACTGGTCAGGACCAATCCAGGACTTCTTCAAACAAAGCTGAGCAGTCTGTTGCCATCAGACTAGAATTGAAGTCTTTACTGTCAGAAATGCGTCACATTTCAGCAGCTGGTTATGCATTGTAGTTTATAGGGAGATTAAGGTCTGTGCAACCCTACTATTACATTTCAGGCATGACTATGCCACATCCGTTTGCCAATTGAAAGGGAATTTAACACTTCTTGTGAAAGTCACCTGAGTTGAAGTGTTTTTGGGGGTGGGGGCGAGCTGGCGGGGCCAGGTCTTGTTGTTCCCCGACTCTTAATCAGAGGGTCAGGGGTTGGAATCCAGCATCTAAGCTGTATTCTGTGTCCTTGGGCAAGCCACTTTACCCCTACACACCTGGCTCCACCCAGCAGTGTCAATGCTCTGGAGCAACATGTGATGGACTAGGAGTAGGAATAGAAATGTCTTTCTTGCAACTGGAGCATGAGAAGATAGAGATCAGCATAGATGAGCCCCCCATATGCTGGTGACCAACTTTGCTTTCTGAAGCTGTTACAGAAGTATATGAACTGTGGTGAATTCCATTGCCCATGCTCTCTGTGACCGCACAGAAGTTGGGTTTGCTTGTTTTATTTTGAAATATGAACTTGCCTCTCAGCTTGATATCAACATTTTTAGAGTACAGTGTTGAAGTTGCGGAGCACAAAGAAAATATGGCTTTGATTTTGTAAATGCCCATCTGATTCGTTTTAGGAGTCTTCCCGTTAAAGTGGTTTAGTTATGTACTATACAGTGCGGGTGGTGATAGGATACAGTGTCATCAGGCAAAACGGAAGCGAAATTGTGTTAATATTTTGCACTGAGAAGTCACTGTGGCAGTCCAGACCATCACAAGTATACCCAGCAAGACATGGGACGGAGGGGTACCCCCCACATGTCCAATCCCTGTACACATCCTTCCGTAGAGTAATATACATGTACCAGGCAAGATATGGGACGGATGGGTACCCCCCTCACCTGTCCAATCCCTATACACACTCTAGACGACTGTTACCTAACACTTCCCCCCCCCCGAGGTATGTAAAGAATTCCAGAGATTCCGATCAAAAAATGTCCAGCACAAAGGTGTGTGTGGGGGGGGAGCTCTCCATCCCACATCTTGCTTCATATGTTCACAAGACCCGACAAGAAGTGTCCAAGGGGAACAGTGACATTTGAATGCTTTTGTCGCGGTTCATTTGAATACCTAGTGACTTGAATTCAGACTGGAGGTCATGTGTTGGTCTTGTGATCTTGTGGTGCTTTTTAGGGGCTCAACTACTGCACCGTCGGGGAAAAAAACAAGCTCTTGATTAGAACTGGTCTGTGTTGTCCGTGCTGATTTGGCGAGCAAGATGTGCACGCTCGACCTTCACACCGTGGCCACAACCAAGGTGCGTTATTCTCCATAAGCAAATGCATACACAAATCCTCCAAGAGATATCAGACCAACAAATTGATAAAACTCTTGAGAAAAACAAATCTTTGATATCATTTTATTTGATTGGTTTAATATTTATGATTTGACATAGAAAGGATACACATTGGTTGAGATGAAAAAGAGAAAAAAAATGGTCCAAATCACACTCTGGACCGGATTTACCACAAATACATGTCTAGCGTCAAGTCTTGTCTTTGTTTTTCAACCACCGTTCCACTCAGATGTGGTTTCTATGCAAGATCACTTTGTAACGTGTATTGCCAAGAATTTCTGTGAAATTGCACACAACATGAACGACTATTGTATTCGAATTACAAAAAAAATCCTGTGTCACTTGATTCTCTATGCAACTGTATACGACGTGCCTAAGGTTTGAATGGTCTAGTAAACTATGGAATCTTTTTTATACAATGAAAAATACAGCTGTGAAGTTCTGCAGCAGATATTGACTGCTGTCACGTGGGATTTGATGCTTTATTACAATAAATGGACTGTGGCACCCTCAGCTTCGCCTAGGGCGCTAGCCGTTAACCCCCAAGGATGTACAAACATGATATCTGACTCTGTCATTCTTTGTTTAATATACCTCTGTCTTGAATTCTTTGCAATATTTTCTCCACCTGAAGTTCTCCAACACAACCAAAATGGCAGGTGTCTCAGTGCTTTGTATCGGCTTAATTGTGTTGGTTGCATGCATCTGATACTCGGAATCGGCATTTTTACGTATTCAAAACATTTTGTGGAGGAGAATCTACATAATGTTTTTGAAGTTCAGCAGACGATATGGTCGAGTTCTGGCGGTCTGTTCTTGGCACGGGTTTCTTGTTCTGGCGCTCGAACGGCGGGAACACGACTCAAGAACACTGTTCTCGGACCAGGATCACACACCACCTCCTCGTCAGGGTTTTACAGGAACATGCGGAAAAACTCGTGAGATTTTGATTTTTTGAACAGCTGCAAAAAGTAGAGAGATGGCTTCCAAAGCTATAGACAATGGGAAGTTTTGCAAAATTAACATTAATTATTTTCTGTAACACAGAAATGAATGGTCCTGTTTATATTTAAAAGAATTCAGCCCATCCAAACATTAACTCTCGAATAACGTAGCCTGTATGGAAGCCGCCATGTTGCATGTTGCTTGTCACTAACTACCATGGATAACCGGTTGTTTGTTCCCGGCGTTCGAGCGGCCGACCCAAGAACAACAAACCGAGCTGTTCGTGAACATACGAGAACAAGCCGCCCGAACTCGGCCTATGTTTAGGAATAGACATGAAGGAAAGAATTTCAGATGAAATTGAACTGCTCACAAGAGCCGACTATCTCATATGCCTGTTTGCTTCTCGCACTAAAGTTTACTCTTTTCAATTTTAGGCGAAGGTAGCACAGATACATGTGCATAGTTTGGCTCGTGGTTTGGACTTGGTCAGGAACTGATCTGTGTTACCATGATGCGTAATACGTTACGGTGAGGGCGATATGCGTTTTTATCACCCGGTCACATGATCGTTTACGTCCACAGTGAAAATACATGTATATTATTCAAGACAGAGGTTTTGACAGTTGTTTTTACATCCTCAGAAAGTATTGGCTTTCCGTACACTTTTTAAATATTCTAACTGTAGCTTGAAGCTAGTATACCGATGCCTGTACATGATTAATACTAATAATGGATTTCAGATTACAATACATGAATGATAAATAAATCTGTTTTAAAGACTTCAAGTAATATTGAAAAGCCTGTAGGCCTATATATATATATATCTTGTCAGAATGTTTTCTTATTATTTCGATTAAGAATACTTTTTTTGCAAGGACCAGTAGATGTAGAACCAGATTTTATTTTCCTTTTTTCTGTCTTTTTTCCTTCATAAGCGAAAACAATGGTTCGTGAAAGATTTGAAATGTGTATACGTAGAACTATTGCACCGCATTTTACATTACACAGATTCAGTAACAATTCTTTTCAAGTCGAAGTTAAAATCAATACAACTAACTCTAGAATTAACGTCCCAAGTATCGTTAAACAGGCACTTTGTATGTACTCGTAAAACTTACCTGTGCAAATCAACATTACCAAAAGGTGCCCGCTGTATGACCAACCGACAAAACTAGTGCATGTTTACATATAAACAGATTTTGGGGGCTTTTCGGATTTTTTTACCCGAAAAAACAAATCAGACGTTTTCAGGCATGTACAGCGAAAGCTTGGGAATTTATAAAATTAACAGGAAACTTTCCACTCGAATGCATCATAAAAAAGGTGAATAAACATATTTGAAGGACACGCAAATGACCAATAATGTGCAATAGGAAATAGGAAACCTTTGCGAAGATGGCGCCACTTCCGCTGGAATGCTCTCTGTACTGATTCATTGAACCCTTGCCCAAGTAAAAACATGTTTTAAAAACTTTGAGATACACGTCAAACTTGAGAATGCTTAATTTTTTTTTACCGGACTGGAAGAGATTATTGTTGGAAATTTAACTTATCCAGTACTAAACGTCTAATTCTGTTCCAAATCTGGTTTGTTCGTGTACGAGGTGTTACTTAACCGCGCCTTCATTAAACTCTAGCAACTAGATTGGATGGTTTCTAATGTTACAATTACTTTTACTGTCTCTTCTGTACAATTATTGCTCGAACATCAGTATAGATACATTTTCACTTTCAGTCACTGAGAATCGATATAAAATGGTGGAAAAGTCCGATTATAGTGGAAAAAACTTTTTGATTATAGTCAAATGTTTGGCTGTACGGTAAACTTCTGTAAAGATTTTAACTTGGTAGGAACTAGAAACGGTAATGTGCGTACATAAGAATCTTTGGAAAAGTGTCAGGAATCACTGTAATGTTCAAGCAAGAGGAAATGAATTTGTGAAACATAACATTTTGAAAACCTTTTTAAATTTTCTGCCGCCATGTTTGAATTGTCTACATGAAGAAGGTTTTACAGGCAAAATAGTCGGGTACTGTGTTTATTCCACTTTTTGCCAGAACTGTACCATCACAAGGAAATGCATCCATGAGTCAAGAAATTACTGTATTTAGTCCCGAAATCATCTTCATAAGCTCAGCGACGAGAGTTCTCCCGTCGTATTGGATTCTTTGCTTTATGCTCTCACAGACTGCTTTTTAAACACGCACAGGTCATGCGCACACTGTGCAGCAATTGCTGTGGTGTACCTTGCTCTATAAGATTATTAGGAACAGCAAGATGGTTGAGAAAGCCAGACGGGGAGTTGCTCTCAAATGCGTACATAAATAGAAAGACACCAGATCTATCAGTAAAACTAAAAGTTTCTTTGTGAAGTTTATACGTACGTTAATTTCACTGCTAATAATAGACAGTCTTGGCAAGAAAAAATCCGCTCGCTTGTCACGTAACGGTATCTCTTTTCGCTGATGAAGTCATCACTGTAGGCTGTTCTGTTATATGTAATGCGGAGAAGTTCCACAGACGGCAACGTATGGAAGCAACTTGGTACAGAATCGGTACGTATGAAGTTTTGGTTTTGCACACCACATTATTAGTATTAAATTGTATTCCTAAAAACAAAAAAATTCTTACTTTCGCGACACTTGATGTATCGTTTGTTAGGATAGCAATGTCTTGGAGTTAAATTTGGGGTGAATAAAGTTAGTTTTTGAAGAAATCGGCACCACCTATTTTGCTACGTTTCTGTGTGCATCATCGCGTACCGACGCGCGAGTCATGCCGAAACTAGATTTTTCAAACCTTATACGTCCCCGTGTACGTGCTGTGTCATGTGCATTCTTGTACGGACACGAACAAAATTATCCTGGATGCCGAAACTGTCTAGTAGCTACATTTTGTTCGCGCATCGTGGAACCTGCGTAACAAAGCGGAATTATGTCGACAGTTGTGACGCAAAACTTGCCGGCATGAGCCAGAAGTCACCAGAATCCCTTCCGAGTGACAGGCCTTTCAGATTGGCCGATTTACCAAGCTTGATGGTTTGCCTGTATACACATTCCAGGTTTAAAGGTTGCCATCAAACTTAGACTGGGAGCCTATATTCACCCACATTAGAGCACCCACCCGGGTCTCAAACGTGTGCACTTGCACGAGCTCCTGTGTTAAAGGTCATAATGGGCACAAGGTGATACAGAAGAAAACAGGTTCATGACTTTACGTTGACAATGTACTTGACGACAAGCTGCACTTGCAACGGTTGACGCAGTATATGCTGTGTGGCACAGATTTGCACTTTTCAGCCACTAAGGTGTTTGAAATTGACAGCATTCTGTAACGGATGACCTCTGTGCTTCTTGATGAAAGTATGCGTGTGAAGTACGAGAACAAGTGATTTTTTTTATTTTGTTAAAGAAAAGGTATTGTCAGAAACTCTGCTGAAATTGATCCACATCATCAAAGGATTCACAGAAATTCATACAAAAATAGTTTTTTCCCCTTTCAATCAAACTGTGCAATATGTACAAGCTTCATTCCTTACAGTAATTTTTGCGTAGTCTTGGAACTCAAGTTCAAAATCATTTTCAAAGGTACGAAAACATTCGTTGGACATTACATTCATGCATGTCGTCAGTGATTATGAATGATTATAGTTTGATAATGTAGAATAGGTACCCCAGCGGATGTTTTAAATCTGGAAAGAAATTATAAAGACCTGTATTTTTTATGAAAAATGTCCAAAGAAGGCATTTGTTAACAGGAACTGGCCTCATAATTTGTGCCTGGGTCATTCCATGAGGTTGGGGCATAATTTGTGACGGTGTCCGTGTTACATCCAAAACTTCTACCACCTGTCATGACCTTTAGAGTAGGTCATTTACTCTGTAAAACTAACACACCTCTGTATCCAGCCTTGCAAGAGGTATAACAATGTCAATTTGGAATCCACAGCAGGGAAATAACGGTTCATTTTTACGGAACCCATGTAACAATTGACACCCTCACAAAATGTGCCCTAACCTCATGGAATGACTCACCTGTAATTCCAGCATTACTTGCTAAAATGAGGGGTCACCGGTGGCCACTTGTTTTGGGTGGTATCCGTCAATTTCGACAGTAGACTTAAAGAATTTAGATGCAGTGTTGGATGTTCACAATCAACAATCTTTTATAATTTGAACTGTAAATTAATTGAACTATAACAGTTTGATCCGCGGGAAAGTTCTAGAACTTTCATGGTGTTGATTTCTTGCAAGGCATTCTAACGCTGATCCGAAATTGGAATACTTAGCGGCGTAATGAAGAACGCATTCCGGTTGTGTTCTCTCTGGATCGAATTCTTTGTGATTTTAACATTGGAATTTCAGTCAACAAGTTATAACTGATTACCGCAAACGAGGTGAGCAAAACAGTAAAAACACGCAAGGACAGGTTTTTAGAAGAGGAATGTTGAACTGGGGAAGTTTTAGTTTCTAATGAGCCTGTGCAGTATTTTAGAACAAGCAAGATCATTCCGGAATAAAGCACGCGCGCAAGGTTGGGAAGGACTGCGCTGATTGGACAGACCTAGCACGCACCTCCGATTGACCTCGATTGCGCTTTATTTCGGGCATGCGCTGTTTGAATACTAGTCTGGCTCAAAACACTCTGCAATTTCCCAGCTCGTCGTGGGAAATGTGACACGGTCTGAATCACTAGAAGGCTTGAAATTACACAGGAGTTTATGAATGCGGCCTCTGTCCCACACATAGACCCGTGTGCCATTTCAAGCCGTAGCCAAGTAAATTCGGATAGTCAAATTGTTTCACAGCCCACATTTCCCGTGACCGGTTCCCGGCACCACGGTACAAGATCCACGGGATGTCTTTTGTGCACAGTTTACCAGTGAAAATCGACCAGAAGTCGACGACTGGTCGTCAGACGGACTAGCTAAGCAGCAACTTGGTGAATTTGGGCCGTTAATGGTGTTAACTGAAAGCCGGGCAAGGTTTGAGAGCAAGGGGCGGTATCGTCGTGGAAGCAATGCTGCCCTCTCGTCCCTTCCCCCCGGCGAAAGAAAAAAACACGATGGGTGGTCTATAGATTTGCGTACACTGACACCTCGGTCCTGACGTTCTCCTTTTCCTGGATGACGATCGGCTGCAGTTGGAAGGACACCGTCCGCGCCCCGGGCCGCTTCGCCGGCGACGTCCGGGACCCGGACTCCGAGGCCTCGCCAGAGTGGGAGCAGTGCGGCGAGGACGAGGTGTCGGATGGTTGTCATCTGCGCTGGTCCTGCTGGCCGGACCTGGCGGCCGATGACGGGGACAGGTTGCCCTCCTGCTGCTGGTGGTGGTTCTTGCGGGACGGGAACACCTTGAACTTGGTCTGGGGGAGAGAGATTATAGTCGCCCGTGAATGCAGGGAGGGAGCACCTGACGTAGGCCTATATACACCTGACACCCGATCAAAACGGCTGGTACCAGCGTCTATTTATCAATTTTGTATACCCCCAAAAAACTTCCGAAACAACCCTAGTGAAAACAAAGCGCAGGTTTCTATGAATCTATTACCGATAGAAAGGAACTAAAGGTTTATTGTTTTATAGTCCAAATTGCATATCTATTATAAGTTCCTGTATCGTTTATAGGCCTAGCGCGCAGACGCGTACCGGTAGCACAAGGCGTTTTGGAAAAGCATTGCATGTGTCGCAAAACCTTTTTTCCTTAATTCACACAAAGTTACCAGGAATTTCCAGCCGCCTTGTTCATATCGAACGGGAAATCACGAACGTAGGAGAAACTTGTACGAGCACAAGACAACCAAGGCTCCATTTTAGGAGTCTCAAAGCGCTTTGCCTGAATATTACCGAATCAGGCCACCAGACACAATGATTTTAGGGATAATTGTTGGGGATAATTGGATAATAGTAAAACAAAATTAATGCGCTAGAATTACACGTTTCAGCACGCGTTGTACTAAAATGAATAAAGCGAAAAAATTAATGAACTTAGAGAAGACGGCAGCCAAGGCTGGAAATGTGACTCTGGCCTGATACGCACACTCATCTGGTTTTGAAATTAGTATCACAAAAACGCAGAAGCTTCCTGAATTGTGACGATTGTCCGTGCCGGATTATCCTTTACGCACAGTCGGCACTCTGCCTCGAGCCTACAAATATTTGGGAGATCAACGAAAAATTTCGATGGTCCATGAAATCTGATCATAGGCTGACCACAGTGTGTCATAAAACGCACACAGTTGTTGAAGTTGTACTCCACTCCTCGATTTCCAGAGAAAGCTTCAAACCTTCTGGGACAGTACAGGTACGGTATTCCTGTCGATGCCTTGGGTGGAGTTGGGCCAACGTAACACTGATATTTAAACATAACCCGGCTCTGAATAGGGAATGGTTACCTTTAATTTGAAAGAGGATGACAGACTGGCGCTCAGGTTGTTGGCGCCCGAGACGTCGTTCAGCTCGTGGCCACGCTCCAGCACGTCATCCATCTCTAGCCCACCGTTGTTGATGCCGCTGCAGCCGGGCATGGCGTTGGTGCCGTTGGTACCGGTCACCGTGGCCGTGCTGTCCATGTCCCGCAGGATGGAGCTGGCCTCCCGGTACTGGCTGATCTGGCTGATCTCGTCCCGCCAGCCCGGCCGAGGCGAGTCCCGCACCGCCGAGCTCTTCTTGTGCCGCAGGCAGCAGCAGGGTCCGAAATGCTTCTCATACTCCTCGACAACCTGTTCCCAGCCGCAAAAAACGTTGAACGAAATGAAACGATCCGAATTTCCAAGCATCCTACTCAGTCTCTCGCCCGATCTGACTGCGCACAGCTGTCAAGAAACGAGGCTTTTAAGTTTTGATATGTAGAGGCTGTTACGCAATGCATGTGCCTACTGTAATATATTACCAGCAGGCTTGGAACATGACATTTCGCTTTAAAATGGTGGGTAGTCGCATGCTGCCCAGGCCTGGCTGTCCTAATACATGGCCAGTAGTGTGACATATTCTTCACGTTTTCCTACGTACTTCATATCTCTCTCTCTCTCCCCGATGCTTCCCCTGCTATCTGTAATCAGCCTCCCTTCCAATCGCAGTCTTTCACAATTCAAGTGAACTGTGAGCAGACAAATAGATGGGATAAATCTCTGTGATGTCTGCCTCTTTTGTATTATGTGACTTCTAACTTGCACCATGATTGGCCCTTTAACCTCGTTTCGAGTAGTTTTATAACTGTCTGCTTTGCCCGTAACTCACTGAGAAGTGCTTAAAAATTCCCCTAAATGGTGATACATGTAGTAGCGTTCTTTATCACAGGCACTACCACTAAGAAGGTCTGCCACGCGGCACGGGTGGCCTATATATTACGAACATGTAGAGTGGAACACAGTTTGTGCGAATATTCCAGATGGCAGCCACGCGTGTGAATATATCTCGGTTAAAGAGAAGGGATATACTATTCTTACAACGATTTCGTTTTAATCTCGCAAATTATACGAATTGCCGAAGGCAAAGATTAAAGCCCATGCATGTCTCCCATTTTAAGGTGAAAAAAAAAGAACAATTTGCTCACCTCCGAGCTACCAATTCCGTAGAAGATGAGGACGAGAATGCCCTGTGTGTTTTAATCAGAGTTAAAAGAATAAAAACTATCGCACTGTTATCGAGTTAAGGCCGGTTCATGCTACAGGCGAATGCAAAAGCGAAGCAAATTTGACGTCACGAAAAAATTGCAGCGAAATGTCGCTCGAGTTGAAATTTGTTCAACTATTACGAATTCGCAAAGCAAATAATTGATCTGACGTGGCAAGTACGCTTTCGTTTCTCTTTCGCGCGAAGTATGTACCGGCCTTGTTCAAAGTCTAAATAAAATATTGGAGTCACAAAGAATTCTTCATTTTTTACTGCAGCAAGGGATTATTACTTTTTTTAAGAAAGCGATTATGAATGGTGAAATGGCACCGTTGTAATTTTGTTTCCATTCTGATCAGGCATCAGTGGTCGTTGCCATGGAACTACAAAGCGTAGAAATTCCTTTTCGTCCAGCAAATATTTGCCGCCTCAAGACGAACGTTTACTGCCCTTTGCTTTCGACTGCACTGTTTCAAACTTATTTGTAGGTGCCATTCACAAATATCACCCCCATTGATGTTAGGGCAACATCGGAGTAACTGTGTTCGAAAGAGAAAACACAACCCGGCCGGTTCGTGACTTCGTCATACACGCGGACGCGCCACTCATTGCAGGCTCCCATTGGACGAACACGAACTTTGCACGTTAACTTCCGGTTCCAAGGTCAACGTAACCGTTTGTGCATGCAGTGGGCGTGGTTTATACGCCACACTTACGAACCAGATAGGACACCTGGGCATTATTGTTATCGTAACTTCGCCTGCGTTTTTCCTTCACAAAAGAAATTTTGCTCGAGCCCACAGCTGTGCATGGCGTGTCCGGCATTTCTGGAGTTTAGAATATGGACCACGTCTTATTTTTGTTTTCAAAAACACTAGACCTTCAGTCACACGGGGGCGGATAAAGTTTGCAGAATGTTTCCCTCAGTGGGAACAACTGTTGCCTCAAAGAGCACACTTTCCTTCATCAGCTTTTACACTGCACACTAATTAGTGTTTTAATACAGTATTTGCATGAAATTTTCTAATAAATGCAGTGTGTCTAGCTGCATGTACATTCTGTGCTATTCTGGGTGCCAGGTACCCGCTCGTGCACTGTGCATACATTACATGTACATACCATTGACAGAGCGGAGAGAAACCAGAAGACGTCAAAGACGACGAGCTCGAACTCAGTGGACAAGGACGAAAATAGCCACTCACAGATCTCAACCGGGAGAACGATCAAACATGCACGGATGTTGGGTCTGGAAATGAAGGGGAACAGAGTGAGTTTAGGATATCTTCAGATCTGACGATGATGCCACAGCTATATAGCAACACAGTTGCAAACAGTGCACGTAAATATATGTACAATGTACATGCACATCGTTGCATAAAACCCGTGTTCTACCAAGTTGCAGCAATCGGGTTCACAGGTCTAATTTGGATAACCTGTAGTATATGTCACACGAATTTTCATTGATTTTACTATAATCCAGCTCCATCTGCACAGGGAAACTCTAAAAACTCTCCTGGCAGAGGAATACACAAAGTCTGATTCGGTCAGTCTAGTCGATTTCTGCACCGGCACCTGGGACATTTCGCAGATAGTTAAAATATAATTTACTAGAAGTTACACAGATTATTTTGGCACTTACAAGATTTTACCCATCTGGCCAAGGCACTTCTTGTCGGATTTCTTTAGACAGTGATAACCGTAAAATGCGTAGAATAAACATACAAAATTTGTCTGGAAAAGAGAGAACAAAGATTCAGGTTATACACAAAACAGGGGCGATTCCTTTTCATTTGATTTCCTTTCTTCGCTATGACCGCAAAAGTACTGAGAAAAATTATCAAAACCGTTCCTAAACCACAGATTAATCCATGTGTATATTCTATACGTTAGATTGGCAATAGAAACACGATATAGCTTATTTCATTTTAGGGGGCCAGTCTACAATCCACACATTTCTATGGTTGGAGGAACAGTATAGCTTAAGACATGCGCACATCAAAGTCATCGCGAGCGCATCACATGACGTTTCAACGGGATTATGTACACGGATATTCGTGTGAAATATACAATGTACTTACGGCTCCTATTAAGGTTACAGGAACAATAACTGCATACGAAATGCCGGACCCCAAGGGAAGTGCACAGCTGTAAAGTGAATCAATCGAAAAGATTTTCCGGAACTAAAGCAATTTTCAGCACCCAGTTTGTACGAAATCGGATAAAGTCAGGTACTTGTATCTTTTTTTATCAAATTAGACCAAGGCTTGTCCACCTCCTTAATTTATAAGAAATTGGAAAAGAATGCCGTCATCTGAAAATACGTTTCAGACGTTCAAACGACTTGCTATTACGTTTAAACGACTCTGTGTCATATTAGCGACTTGCCATCTTGTATAAACGACTTATACGTCGTCAAAACCAAACAGCTTAGGTTGTTTAAATCAGATGGTAAAGCGTATAAATGACAAAAAACATTGTTAAGTTTACAGAAATACACTTCTGTATAGTGACATTGTATCATCGTTTGAAAATCTAGATCCAAGATGGAGCAACATTAAGAAAAATAATAATAACACTCGGGTTTTAGTCACCTCAGATTAACGAAGTGACTTTTCACTAAACGATGATTTGTTGCACACTTACTAGTTTCCTCTGCCGTATACTTCAACCTTAAAGCCGGCGGTGCCTGCAACGACAAACAGAGGCGTGATCCACCCCAGGGCTATGAACTGAGCCACGGTGCTCGATTCTGTCGTCTTGTACGTCATCTTATAAGGGCAGTGAAGCGGAATAAAAACACAATTATTCTGTCATTAAAATAGGCAGTATCAGTCTTATAAAATGTTTATGACTTTCTCGCGTAGAGCACCAGACTTTTTTTATTAAGCGTGCACGACTATGTAGTGTGAATTGACAGTAGCCTAAACATCACACGTTGTGTCGAACTACAATAAATCTTCAATCACGCCATCAGATTTCAATAAATGTCAGTCATATAGCAGTCCTTGATGACCCGTGGCTGGGATATACAAAACCTGTATTATGTTGATGTTATCAATGCCTGGATATTTTTATTATAATAAAACGTAAATCATGTAATCATTTATTTTTAATGACGTTTTGTAGCTGGCTCAGTTACATTTGTGGTATAATGAAAAGCACATTCACATTTTCATAAATTGAATACAAAAGGAACGAGCAACATGTGACAAAATTATGTATAACAACTTCAATGATATAACGATTTGTCCAAGAACTTCTGCTCTCAGTCTAATGTGGGTGTTAATTCATTGATCAAGTACCTATATACTTCAAACGTTTGTCCGGAAAAAGAATGAAACATATTTTGAAATTTGAATGGGGCAAATTAAAAACAGAAATAGGGATCCATGGACTTTTTTTTTAAATCTTTGTTCAATTCAACCGAATGCAGGTTTGAGAACAAACCCCTACTCCCCCCTCACCTTGAGCAATAGTTGCACAGCTTGGGCCAACATCCAAAAGGAGTAAGACAGCTGAAAGTAATGGAGAAGTAAGGCCACGGCGCGACAGGCATCCTGGGAAATTTAGCAAGAGCAAAGATGATAAGGTCATATCTGAAGTA